AGCAGCTCCAGGGATTCACAAAAAAGGGCATTTCCATTCCTTCTCCCTGATCCTTTTAACCAGAGATCCAGCCTGGGACTTCCCTGCACACCAAGCATGTACACTTAGTGTTACATATGCATTACAGTTCTAACAGTTGGAAAGGTGAAGAGAAAATTCACTCTGTCTTTTTCAGAATTGTAAGATTCTCATCAACATATAAACAATAATTTATTATATATATATTTATTTATTATTATAATTTTATTATTTATACCCCGCCCATCTGGCTGGGTTTCCCCAGCCACTCTGGGGAAGTCTGCAAATAAATCACTTTCAAAGAAAGTTTTACCAACCTCATCAATAGGATGTCCCAAATACTGTGCCCCCCAGATGCCTAGAGTTTGAAATATGTTTGCAGCGCCGAAGAACTGGCACCAAGTATTTTATTTATTTTCTCCTAATCTGACACACATTCAACTTCCTATAATAATATAAGGGTATACCACCTAATTTTCATAACAAACTGCTAACTTGCTCTAAAATTGCTCACACGTTTGTGGGGAGTCTTCAGGTAGCCTAAATATTTATTCGCTGCAGTTAGCAACACATTTTACTCAGGCTTCCTGCAGTGTTGACACCTAATTGACTAAGACTTCCATCGTTTATAAACTATATGAATAACATGGTGGTTTTTTATTTAGCATGCTTTTATTTTCTTTTGGGGCTTTTTGATAACTCATGCACATTCTCAGAAGAGGCATTTCTTTGTGTGCAATTGAAGCTGCCTTAAACCAATTCAGTTCAGTAGTTAATCTAGCTCAGTACTGTCTAGTACTACCGGGACGCGGGTGGTGCTGTGGGTTAAACCACAGAGACTGCGGCTTGCTGATCAGGTCAGCGGTTCGAATCCCCGCGACAGGGTGAGCTCTCGTTGTTCAGTCCCAGCTCCTGCCAACCTAGCACGTCAAAGTGCAAGTAGATAAATAGGTACCGCTCTGGCGGGGAGGTAAACGGTGTTTCTGTGCGCTGCTCTGATTCACCAGAAGCGGCTTAAGTCATGCTGGCCATATGACCTGGAAGCTGTCTGCAGACAAACGCCGGTTCCCTTAGCCTGTAAAGCGAGATGAGCGCCACAACCCCAGTCATCCGCAACTGGACTTAACGGTCAGGGGTCCCTTTACCTTTACCGTCTAGAAAGGCTGGCAGTGATTTTCAGGATTTCAAACAGTCTTTCCCAGATCTACCTGGAGATGCCAGGAATGAATGTGAAACCCTTGGCACACGAAGCTTGTGCTCTTCTTCCCAAGGGAGAAGGAGCGGATCCTTTTAACATATGCCTACCACCTACACTATTTTCTTGTATTTTTTAAAAAAAAATTAAATGGATACTTTAAGAAATATGACAGATTAAATCAGGCTACTTTTTAAGATGATGCAATGGTTTTTAGACAATCAAAAGCACAGCCCTATCCTTAACTAAGAAGTAAGCTCCACTGGATTCAATGGAGTTTACTCCAAGGTAAAGATTTAAGTTTGCTAAACACTGCAGCCCTTGAAGGTATCCTTTTACCACTAGAGTCTAATGAAACAATTACTGCATGCTTTTACCAAAAGTTCCAAATTTTATAACTTTGAAAGTCAGAAAAATGCCTGCTCAATCTTAGCAATTGTTTCAGCTGCCTAGTCCTCAATCTAATGTAGTGACTGTGCAAAAAAAGGGGTGGGGAGGGTTGCTAATGGCACTATTAACATTGAGGGTGGGGCACACTCTCCTGCATTGCACCAACTGGCAAGGGAGCTGGCATTAAGCCACTCAGCCCAGTTAAGGTAAATAGTACTTCAACGTACCCTAGAGGAATTTACACCCTCCCTGGCAAGTCTCAGCATCCCCGGGGAATAGCATAATGCCACTGCCAGCATCCTTTCGACAGTATTGACACTCTTTTGGCATTACATTTTGCTTTTAGCATTATATTTTGCCTATGTGCAGAAGCCCTTTATGTAATACCAGTGTGCAAAAGTCATTAGAGTCACTATGGCGGAGTGGACAATTAGGCAGGGCTCAGGGGAAGAGGAAGAAGAATTACAGTAGTTCAGAAGAAGGGTGCCTAAAGTGACTTACTACTGGCGTTGTGGTGAACCTGTAATGTTGAGACTCCAGCTCCCATCAACCCAAGCCAAGCACGGCCAATAGGAGGAGATGATGGGAACTGTCGCCCCCCCCCCCCCCGTGTAGTAGCATTTACTACCATTAGTCTAAATGCTCTCAATAAATAACTAGTAACCTCAGACTCTTCCTACTGCAAGGGAAATAATGGAAGAGTATGGTCAGAATTCACTGATTCCTACTGACATTTGAGATAGATCTATAATATAAGCCAGTTTTCACTGAGGCATAGCTGGAGGCAATGATCTGTAGTGTGCCTCATCTACCCAAGTAATTCTAGAGCTAAAAAATAAATAAATCAAGCCTTCCACAGATGCTAGTAAATTACTGCAATCTTTACTGGACCTTCTATCTCTCCCTAACATGTCTTACTTTTGTTGGTTTTCTACAATCCAGTGCTGGGTTGTTAATCCCTGTTCTAATGCCCAAACTTCTTGCTGTGATATACCTAGTTATTATAATTTTTTATCTGTGCTGTTTCTCTCCTGGTAAGCTTACATTACTCAATTAAATCAGAACAAGTCTTTAGTAGCTCGCTCACAAGAAGATTTACTATTTATATTTACGTTTTAGAAAATAAAACAATGGCCCAGAAGAATAGATTAATTCAGACAATGACATGGGCCCAAACATTACATAATGGTGATGGTGATGTATTACTGCCCTTCATCGTAAGATCTCAGGGCAGTTCACAGAATAAAATACAAGGCAAAAACAGGATGATACTGTATTTCTTGGGATTTACTTTGTCTAAGAAATTGGAAAAAGAGCAAAAAGTTTCAGTGCAAAGGCTTTGAACAGTATTAGTAACAATGTTGGGTGCCCAATAACAAGAAAAGCAAATGTCAGAATTCTTAAGCTTGCAAATACCTACAGGATACTAATAATTAGGACTAAAAAAAAAGAAATCTACCAAGGATTTCCAGTCTTTTTAAAAGATTCCTCAGTGAAGTGTATTTACATGGGTGCATCTGCCATGTCAGCCTATTGTTTAAAGGGAAACAAAACAGAGTACATTCTGGTTTTGCCTGGCCCAGATCATACCACCTTGTTTCCTGAAAGTTCACGAAATCCTACAGGTACAATCCAGGCAGACCAATTCAGGCCTGCTCTAACCTGCTGAACTTTTCCACGAAGCGTTGCAACAGCTCTATGACTGACACACTCATACCGCAGAGCATTACTGGGACTGCCCTTTTCAAAATATACCTGTCAAGAGAGAAGCATAGAGGAAGTGGGAGAGCAAGTAACCAGTAGGAACCAGCTAACAGCAGCCGAGCAGTATCATTGCAGCTCACACCTGTGCAAAACAAGCGAAGTGCTGTGACTGTACACCTGTGAAAGACGTGTCCCTGGAGTCCCCTGCCAGATCTATTTCCTCCTGCAAGCACAGAGCAGTGCCAAAGTGCAACCCAACTAAGGGGGCACCTGGAAGGGAACACAGAGAGGCGGGGCAGTGATAGCACCGACTATTTTTCCTGGCACAGTGTTGCTTGCGGCTGTACTCACCTGCGCCCCACATTCCCCCCACTCACCGGACCAAAAAGAGGAAACGCTGCTGAACGCCTCACCCGAATGGAAGGAAAGGAACACACCTCCACCCCACACACCTTGCTTATTTCCCACTACGACAGCCGGGCAGGGCAGGTTGAGAAAAAAGGAAGCAAGCAGCTGTTATAATAGGCCTGGCAAGCCGTGTTCCTGTTCTCCTAACCCCAGAAAGACCAGCAAGGCATCTGCCCACCCCCCAATCTTGACCAAAAGAGGCAGCAATCCCCATGGGAATAGATGGGGGGCCCGGGCAGCAGCTGCCGCCCCCCCCCCGAATCAAGTAAACAAACAGAAACACTTAGCTAAAAGTAGAAAATGTAGAAAGATTTGGATTTTTCTGAGCACTTGGGGTCAAAAGAAAGTAATTTAATCGTTGAGACATTTCATTCCGAATCTGCTAGAGTCAGAGGACGATGACAGGTGGGTGTCCAGCCCCCTCTAACATAAACCTTGGCTACTTGCCCTCCCCCCCAAAACATAAATCCCGACTACTTGTTCCAACATCAATCCTGGCTACTTATCCCAACAAAATCTTGACTACCTGCCCCCCCATAAATCCTGGCTACCTGCTCTCCCCCAATAAGCCCTGGCTACCTGCCCCCCCTAAATCCCGACTACTTGTTCCAATATAAATCCTTCCTATCTGCCCCCCAACACTTGGCTATCTGCCCCCCAACATAAAATTTTGGTTACTTGCCCCCGTAAAACAAATCCTGGCTATGTCTATGGGGCCCACCCCCCATTCTAAACCCTTTGCTCTCCACCCAAATGCAGCAGCCCCCCCCCCGAGTCGCAGGCGTATTTTCCCCACAGCAAGGCCCTCAGAGGTCAACGGGGCTCTGCTGGCCAAGCGTCCCGGAGCCCCAAGCCACCTACCCTCCCCGAAGCCGCGTTCACACGCACACGCGTCCTGTACACATCCCCCCACGCCCAGCCCGGGGTGGTGGTGGTAAACAGGGGTAAACTTCGGGGGGGGGGTTCCGCCGGCCCCCCCCCCCAGCCAGGCCTCCTCTCCTCACTCACCACACATTTCTTGCCCAGGAAGCCGAAGAGGCTCTCGTTCTCCTGCGGGGTGAGCAGCATGGAGCCCACATTGGTGATCCGCCGCGGCGGCGGAGGCTGCTGGTTGTTGCTCATCGCGCCGCTCCGAGATGCCGGCCGGCCGCTTCTGCTTCGGGGCTCCGGGCTCTCGTGGCGGCGGTGGCCGCGTCCTCCCGGCTCTCGACCAGCAGCGGCAGCCGCTTCCGCCCCGCTGGCTACTGCGGCAGCGGCGGCGGCGGCAGCATCGGGGCGGCGACCGGAGACGGCGCTGAGGGAGCTCTAGGCCGGAGCCCTTCCTCCTCCTCCTCGGCCTCTCGCTTCACTCTTTCGCCCCCTCAAACGCCCCGCTTCGCCCCGGCTCGGGCCGAGCGATCCAACATGGCAGCAGGGGGGCGAGGCGGCGAGAGAGCGGGCGGCGTGAGGGGAAAGAACTCGGCCGCCGGGCCAGGGAAGCAGCGGCGGCGGAGGAGAGAGGCCCGTCCTTCCTCCTCGCCCTCCCTTTCCTGTTCCTTCTTCCCCGCCGGCCTGAGGAGAAGGAGGAGGAGGGGACTGAGTGGCGGCGGCGGCGGCGGCTGCTCTGCTGCTTCTCGCCGCTGTTCCGCGCGGCCCGGTTAGTGGCGCGGCCCGCGGCCTGCGCCGCTTAAATACCGGCCGGGCTGGTCGAGCCTGACTCTCGCCGGGGAAAGAGGCGGCGGCGGCCGGGAGATGGAGAGGCGAGGCCGCCGCTCGTGGGTTGTTGGCCAGGGTGGGAGGAAGAGGATGGGTGGAAGTTCTTCTGCTGGATGGGGAGCAAACTGTGGATGATAAGGATAACAGTAACAAGAACATTGTAAATAAATGAATAAATCTCACAACAACAATAACAATATTCTAAATAAATGAATAAATATCATCATCATCAACATTGTAAATACATGAATAAACCTCACAATAACAATATTCTAAATAAACGAATAAATCTCATAATCAACAACATTGTAAATAAATGAATAAATCTCACAACAACAATAACAATATTCTAAATAAATGAATGAATATCATCAACGGCAACATTGTAAATAAATGAATAAATCTCACAACAACAACAATATTCTAAATAAATGAATGAATATCATCAACGGCAACATTGTAAATAAATGAATAAATCTCACAGCAACAATATTCTAAATAAATGAATGAGTATCATCAACACCAACATTGTAAATAAATGAGTAAACCTCACAACAACAGCAACAATATTACAAATAAATGAATAAATCTCATTGCATTGAAAAACCGAAAAAAACCCATAATAATTAATAATAATAGTTAATTTATATGCCACCCATCTGACTGGGTAACTCCAGCCACTCTGGGCGGCTTCCAACAAATCATTTATTCAATTTATATTCCGCCCTATACCCGCCCAATAAATGGTTTTATTATAAATCATATAGTAAAGCCACTATACGTTGTATAGTCCAACGTACAGACTATAGAACATCATAATAAAACGTTAGAAAACTTTCTTGAGCCTTTAGATGTCTTCTAAAAGGTCGTCCTGATTTGTCATGTCTTTGTTATTATTGTTTCTTCAGTTGATATACCAACCTTTATCCAAAGAGGAGAAAGAGAGTGAAAGGGTAACATAAAATTTCCTAGTGGGTAAGCTGAATAAAGCAGCGTATTCTTCATAAAGGGATGCACTCTGAGTTTTAGGAATCTGAATAGAGGTTACGAGGGCAAAAAGGAAGTGCCACCTCTGACATCATTAGTCTTCATTACATACCTATGGTTGTGGGGAGTATAAAGGTATTCCCTTGCATACTATTAAAAACAAATGGATTTTAAAAAATCCTAAAGTATAACACATCCCAGTGAGACGAGGGAAATTTTAGAGACTACCTGTGATCTGCATTCAAAACAAAAGTGAATCTGCAGTGTACTTTCTTCTGCTTGAACTACAATGTTATCTGAGCATATGAGGATGACCTTAAACGGGTTGGATCTCAGAGTCCTGTTTTGGGCATCACATCATCTGGATTTTCCCTGTTTTTGTGCAATGCCTGCAATATATAAGTCATACAAATATAAAACAAATGAGAGAGTGGGCAGGGGGAATAGAGAGATGGTTTAATGCAACCAGCAAAAGTTGTGTCACAGGGACAATAGCACTCTGCCCACAGTAATATAGATATTAGTTGTTTCATTTTATCCATTTCTATATTGCTTAATGGGATGCGGGTGGCGCTGTGGGTTAAACCACAGAGCCTAGGACTTGCCGATCAGAAGGTTGGCGGTTTGAATCCGCATGACGGGGTGAGGTTCCCATTGCTCGGTCCCAGCTCCTGCCAACCTAGCAGTGTGAAAGCATGTCAAAGTGCAAGTAGATAAATAGGTACCACTCCGGCAGGAAGGTAAACAGCGTTTCCGTGCGCTGCTCTGGTTTACCAGAAGCGGCTGAGTCATGCTGGCCACATGACCCGGAAGCTATACTCTGGCTCCCTCGGCCAATAAAGCGAGATGAGCGCCGCAACCCCAGAGTCGGCCACGACTGGACCTAATGGCCAGGGGTCCCTTTACCTTTATATTGCTTAATCACATTTCTAAGCAGAGTACATAAAAGGAAAATGGTTGGCTGAAACTTCTTCATATATTTGACTGTGATTCACGTTAAATAGATATACAGTAGCTCTGTTTGAAACTGCGGGACTATTGCGATTATATGATGTATGGTGTTCCGTTATTAAAAGCACACATACATGTCTTTTCAGTCGTTGAGACCTAAGAATGCATGTCAGCTTGGTTCAGCTTAGGGATCTCAACTCACTGTTGCCAAGGCTTACTCTGCTAGCACATGACTTCTCTATTATTGATGATGATAATGATTACAAAAGGTGAAGAAGAACCAGTCAGTTTGGTCACCTTGTCCTGCTTGAACAGTACTTCCGTTGTGGAACAACATAGCCTCCTACTTGGGAGGTGGTGTTCATACAATTGGCAGGCCGTGATAAAAATAGCGATGGAGGCTGTGCACATCAGTCAGAGGCATGTCTACTTATCCAACAACATAGAGCTCTCCACCATGGCCACCGCCATGTGGGTAAAGGGTGAAGCCCCCTGCCTCCAGCAGAGCTTGGCTTGGTGGGATAGTAGTGGAATTGGGGCAACTGCACGTCAACAAGGCACAAAGATGTTCTCCAGTGCTTCAGACTCCATTCTCATGAGTAAGGCTCTATTGCTGGAAGAAGCATGACATCCTTGTTTTATCTCACTTGCTTATGGAGAGACCTGCCAGATTGATGGCAGACCCTCCAAGTGTCCCGATTTTCCGGGGACAGTCGTAGATTTAGAGGAACAGCCCTGGTTTCTCATTTGATCCTGGAATGTCCCACTTTTCCCATTTTCACCAGAAAAACATTGGAGGGAATGGAGTTATCAGATCCCTGAGCCATCTGAAGGCAGCCCTGTATAGGGAAGTTATTTTAAAATGTTTCATTGTGTTTTTATATATACATACAAACAACTATACGAATTTCAGAAGGCACCTGAAGGCAGCCCTGTTATCGGGAAGTTTTTAATGTTCGATGTTTCCTATTATATATATTATATACAGGTATGTATATATGCATATGGGACGCAGGTGGCACTGTGGGTTAAACCACAGAGCCTAGGACTTGCCGATCAGAAGATTGGCGGTTAGAATCCCCGCAGTGAGCTCCCGTTACTCTGCCCCAGCTCCTGCCAACCTAGCAGTTCGAAAGCACGTCAAAGTACAAGTAGATAAATAGGTACTGCTCCTGCGGGAAGGTAAACAGCGTTTCCGTGTGCTGCTCTGGTTCACCAGAAGTGGCTTAGTCATGCTGGCCACATGACCTGGAAGCTGTACACCGGCTCCCTTGGCCAATAAAGCAGACGAGCGCCACAACCCCAGAGTCGGCCATGACTGGACCTAATGGTCAGGGGTCCCTTTACCTTTTTTATATATTACATTTTTTATATATTCGTGTGTGTGTGTGGTGTGTGTGTGTGTGTGTGTGTGTATTCAGTTGGAAGCCACCCAGAGTAGCTGGGGTACCCCAGTCAGATGGATGGGGTACAAATAGTGTTGCTGTTGAACAGGACGTCCCTATTTTCATCAGAGAAATGTTGGAGGGTATGTGATGGCTGGTAGCATTGTTGTGGAATCCAGAGTCTAGGTCGAGCTGCAGTGCTGATACATTTCCCAGATCTTCATCTTTCACATCACAAAACAGAGACAGATTAATAGACCTACTTTACAGGCAACTGTAGCTTTATACAAATAATGAGCAATTTTGCAGCTGAATGTTAAGTCGGTTTACGTACCTGGAGATCCTGCTGCATCATGCTTTGTGCAACTCGGCTGGAATTTGGACGGGCTGCCAACTCCCAGACCCTGGCACATCAGAAACGTTGGCATAACGCGACTGGAAAAGAGCATTTTTGTTAGAAAAAGAATTTTGACTACCGTCTGTTTTCACAGCTGACCAGATTCAACACATATCAGTGCCAAATACACCCAAAGAATTCTGAAAAGCTTGCACAGAAACCTCACTTCGTTTAAAAAAATAGCTTTGCTTTAACATTCCTGGTACTGATTTGAATAATCAGAGTTGGTACTTTTAATGTGCTTGGTGCTTTTGTTTTAACAAAAGCTCCATCTTTAGGAACTGTATTAAAGTTGAATTGTTCATTCGAATTGCTTCGAGATGATTATGTCATCACTTTTAGGCCCAGTGTGGGAGTATTTGGCCTATAGCATGGGTAGGCAAACTAAGGCTTGGGGGCCGGATCCAGCCCAATCGCCTTCTAAATCTTTATGCCCTTTTATTTAAAATGTATCTCTGGGTTATCTGTGGGGCCTGCCTGATGTTTTTAAAGGTAAAGGTACCTCTGCCCGTACGGGCCAGTCTTGCCAGACTCTGGGGTTGTGCGCCCATCTCACTCAAGAGGCGGGGGCCAGCGCTGTCCGAAGACACTTCCAGGTCACGTGGCCAGCGTGACATCGCTGCTCTGGTGAGCCAGAGCCGCACACGGAAACGCCGTTTACCTTCCCACTAGAAAGCGGTCCCTATTTATCTACTTGCACCCGGGGGTGCTTTCGAACTGCTAGGTTGGCAAGCGCTGGGACCGAGCAACGGGAGCGCACCCCACCGTGGGGATTCGAACCGCCGACCTTTCGAACGGCAAGCCCTAGGCACTGAGGCTTTTACCCACAGCGCCACCCGCGTCCCTGCCTGATGCGTAGAATATGCCCTTTTATTTAAAATGCATCTCTAGGTTATCTGTGGGGCCTGCCTGGTGTTTAAAAATGAGTAGAAGGTGTGCTTTATTTAAAATGCATCTCTGGGTTATTTGTGGGGAATTCATTCATTTCCCCCCAAAAAATATAGTCTGGCCCCCCACAAGGTCTGAGGGACAGTGGACCGGCCCCCTGCTGAAAATGTTTGCTGACCCCTGGCCTATAGGATGTTACTGAACTACAATTTCCATCAGTTCCAGCAAACATGGCAAATCTACACTTGTGGCTGAAAACAGATTAACATCAGAGCTAGTCATAACTCAGAAAGGAGGGGGCGGATCCAAAGTCGGGTGCCACCACTAAGAAGGCCTCCAACATTTCTCTGATGAAAATAGGGAAGTCCTATTTAATAATAATCATTTAATAATTATATTATTTATACCCTGCCCATCATACTGGGTTGTCCCAGCCACTCTGGGGCCGTTTCCCGACATATATAAAATATAATAAAACATTAAACATTTTTTTAAAAAAACTTCTCTAAACAGGTCTGCCTTAAGATGTCTTCTAAAGGTTGTATAGTTACTTATCTCCTTGGTTCAGGGATTGCATAATTCCACACCCTGCAACATTTCTCCAATGAAAATAGGGACATCCTGCCATACCCTCCAACATTTTTCCGATGAAAAGTGGAACATTCTGGGATTCAAATCAGAAACCGGGACAGATTCTGTAAATCCGGGACTGTCCCTGGAAAATAGGGGCATGGAGGTTCTGCTTTTGCCCATTTTGATACCCAAGCAAAATCTCCTTACAGGCATTCTCTCAGGTAACCACCTCTCAAGTTGTTTTAGGGCTATATATACCAGTACTACAACCTTGAAAGAATACTAACTACCACCCTCTTTTCAGGGCAGAGCACTGGGTTTAATGAGAACCGCAGAGATTTTATTATGGGGAAGTTCCTCTTCCAGCATGGGAGACCTTCAGCCTAACCGTCGGCCTAATGATAGACTCCCTGAAGCTCCCGCTTCTTCAGAATCAATCTCTCAGAATTCCCCCTGAATCGCTGTTGGCAAAAATAAGCTTTGAAGGATGACAGCCAGCAGTTACGCAGCCCACCCAGGGGCATTGAATAGCCAGAAGTCTCAGAACAGCTTAACAATAGTAAGAGAAGAAGAAGAAGAAGAAGAAGAAGGAAAGAAGAAGAAGAAGAAGAAGAAGAAGTGAGATTTCAGAACGGACTTTCCAAGTCTCAAAACAAGCTTAAAAAGACATTGGTATGGAACAGCAAGTCTCCTAATATTGGATTACTCAATTTTGATTTCAGCCATAAGCTAGTATCCCTGTCTCCTCAGATGAATGAAGGAAGGCTCTTCATTCCTGTGTGCTTTCTACCCACCTCAGCAGAGGATGTTACCAAGGTATTGAACCAGGAGATGGGGTGGAATTGTTGCTGACTTCAGGGTATGTTAGTGAAGGACACCGTCAGAAAAGAATATTGATTTGACCGTGACATTCCGACCAATGAGGGCTTTTATTTCACCTCAGAAGCGTATGCCGATCTTACCCTACTTACGATACAATACATACAATACAATACGATACGATAATCTTTATTGTCATTGTCCCATACAGAGCAACGAAATTTTATATATATATATATTATATGATTTTTTTTGGTTGTTCCTCGGGTGTCTTCCCGTGTAAAAGTTGGG